ATTCCTACACATACACACACCCCAACACACTCCATAATACTGCGCACACACACACACACCACATAACACACACACACCCCAACACACTCCATAATACTGCACACACACCTACACACAACACACCCATTCCTACACATACACACACCCCAACACACTCCATAATACTGCGCACACACACACACCACACATAACACACACACACCCCAACACACACAATACTGCACACACACCTACACACACACACACCACACATAACACACACACACCCCAACACACTCCATAATACTGCACACACACCTACACACACCACACACAGCACACACATTCCTACACCACACACAGACTCCACACACATCTATACACATGCACTCCCCCCACACTCCTAAACACACACACACACAGACAATTCTACATACATACACCCTTCTGTACACACAGGCTCCTGAGGACACACTTGGACATGCACACCTGTGTGTGTCTCCACATGGCCTAGCGAAACCCTCAGGCCGCCCACAGTTACAGACTGACTCGCTCCCTTGATCTTCTCATGCAGTTATTTTCCAGGAAGGGGGAGGAGATGTAAGCATCTCTCTCCACACTCCTCCCCAGCCCTGGTCCAGCTGTGCAAAGCTCACACCAGGGTGCTCCACACCTGGCTCCCTTTGATTTGCGGGAGGCGGAGAGGGGGAGCGGCAGCCCGGGAGCCACCTCCCCTCCCCCCAGCTGAGTTCCTCCTTCTGGCTCCAAAGCCCCTACCCCAGAGGACATTGCTTCCCTGCCGAGGCAGTCCCCAGCAGGGATGTTTGCCAGCCCTGGGACGTGCAGTGGGGGTCCAGCGGACAGGTGAGGGCTGTACTGGAGCTCCACAGCTAAGGGTTCAGATCCCAGCTCTGCCGCACACAGACTTTGAGCTTGGGCAAGCTCCTTAACCTGTCTCAACCCAAGTTTTCACATCCCTGAAACTTCTGATAAAAGGCTTGTGCGGATTAAACCGCATTTGCACTTAGCACACTCTGGCCTATAGGAATGTTGCCTCCTCCAGTCCAGCCCCCTGCTCTGATGCAGCTCACATCTAAGGGGGGAACAGGATACAGTGTCTGCACTTCACTGGGAAACCTCTCTGCACAAGCCCATCTACTGGAGGCTTCCTCCAGGGGACCCATTTACAGAGCAGACTCAGAGAGTGCTGCCCCCTGGAGTTGTGCTGTGCTCACCCTGGGAACTCTGACAAAACCAGAGAAAGTGCATTTCTTTTTTTTTTTTTTAAGATTTATTTTATTTATTTGAAAGAGTTAGAGAGAGAGGTAGAGGCAGAGAGAAAGGTCTCCTATACGCTGGTTTACTCCCCAGATGGCCACAAGGCTGGAGCTGTGCCCATCCGAAGCCAGGAGCCAGGTGCTTCTTCTGGATCTCCCATGCAGGTTAAGGGGCCCAAGCACTTGGGCCATCCTCCACTGCTTTCCCAGGCCATAGCAGAGAGCTGGATCGGAAGTGGAGCAGCCAAGACTAGAACTGGCACCCATTTGGGATGTTGGTGCTTTAGGCCAGGGTGCCAACCTGCTGTGCTACAGCGCTGGCCCCAGAAAGTGCATTTCTTTGTAAAATGCTTTCTGTATAAAACATACAGAGTAAGTTTAAACATGCCCCCCCAACACACACACACACATACACAGAGCCTTTAAGCCCCTGTGCAATTTAAAAGCCATAATCGCCTGCGATTGGTACAAGTGAAAGAATCGATACTTGGCATTTTAAAGCCAGTGTATTCACATTTGGGGCTACAACATAATACTACACATACTCCTTGCTCACTTCCCAACTTGTGACAAATTTGGCATGGTTGAGCTCCATGCCCTTTGGCCAGAGTAAAGTAGAAGCTTCTAGAAGCCATGAGATATGAGTTCATCCTCCATTATCAAAACAATTACTGACTCCTTTGCTTCTGTCAGAACCACAACCTAAGCCACTTGCGTCCAGATGTCCACAGACTTTGGGAAGGCCCTAGCTTATGCAGCTTCAAACAAGCTTTATCCGATGTCATTTTGCAAAAACTATCGCTCCCTGCCCTAAATGAAAGATGATAGTGAGACGATGAACCCAGAGAGAACTCTGGCTTCTCTAATTCCTCAGTGATGGGTGGGATGGATCAAGTATAAGATACTGGAACCCATACGTATGGATATACACCCGCCAAGAGAGGCACACCCTATACACGGTGCCAGGGCAGAGAAAGGGTGTTTGGTAATTATTTATTTAATCCCTGTTCCATCTCTCCTAGGTCTGTAAGCTTCAGAGAGCCCAGTGGGAATCCTCAAGCTGGGCCACGGATCCTACCAAAGCCAAAATAAACAATGGCTTGAAGAAAAATCTACAAAAAAGTGCTGATTTGCACTATTCCCACAGTCGGCCAGAGCCCCCACCACCATTCCCATGGAAAACACCCCGGCTGGTGCCAAATCAAGTTTTCCCCCCATCGTAGGGGCATTGTTTTTTGTTATTATGTGAGTTCTTAGCATCAGACAATGGCACCACAAGAGACACAGTGGAGGCAGGAGAAATGCCTTTTTGTTCCACGAAGTCTGTGCCATTGTGCCCGGGAGTCGTGCGTATAGCTTAGTTGCACTCCTTCATGTTGGTACCACGTATGTGGAGCTACAAATGTGCCGAGCTGAAGCCCAAAGCCTCTTCCTTATTTCCTTTTCAGAGCCCATCCAGTGTTAAATCACATTAGCATCGCCTTGCTCTCTCCCTCCTCCCTCTCCACCCCCAATTAACAGATTTCTCAAATAAAGTTGGCCCCAACAGAAAGAGTGGGGTTTGGGGGCTTATATCACAGGACAGGCATCCAGGATGCTGGATTACAAGCTCAGCTCCATTCCCGATTCGCTTTGCTTCCCAGGAGGAGCCATTCAAACCCTTTGCAACCCCTCCTTTCTCTGGGGCTTTGATTCCAGAAGTAAACGGGCCTCTTTGGAAACTTGCTGAGAATTTCTGCAGAGAACAGGTAGGGGATGAGAACACAGCTACTCTGATGAGAAGCCGTGAACTCGCCAAGGGAAAAGCAGAGATGCCCAGTGGTGTCAGCCGGGATGCTCCTGGTCGGTCGGCCCCCAATGCCTTTGCACGCCATTCAGGTTTCCCAACCATCTGAGTGTCCCACGTGCTTGTTTGGTAATATTTTTCCATTGACCTTGTTTGCATATTAAAGCAAGATTGTTCTCTCTTTTATTTACCTCGCTTTCCCCCCAGACATTCTATACTCTTACATCAAAGGAGTTGTTTTGCCTATAATTAAGTCTTT